TCCTCCTCCATCAATAAATGGTAGGTGCATCTGTAATTGGGGATGTCTATGGGTAGCGGTCGCTTTCCATTTCGGTGGATTCAGGTAGCAGCGTGCTTGTTTGCCACCTTATGTTAAAAAAAAAAACTAATGTATTAACATAAAAAACCATAGATCTTATATTATTATTAGAATAGAAAGTAACCCTCAGCCAGTCGAATAAAAAGATTTCTTTCATGAATTTAATCTTATTTTTTATTCTTACAGATGTGAAAGATGGAAGAATCTTTGTTAGAAAATATCTCCAGAATTGCTCAACAGATCTCGATGAAATTGGCAATAATATAGAATATAATCTAGAAAAACAAATACGCTACTTTTGCTTTTTTAGTACCGCGCGAATGGAGTCGCGGACAAATGGTAGTGTATTTTTGTATATATTGAAATGACTCTAAAACTAATGGGCCGATTTCAAAAATTCTTTGACCATAAAAAAAGCTACGTTATCACTGAGTTAAGCTTTATTTTTTATTGTTTTTAATTTCACCCGGAAAAAGACGAAGTGTGAAATAAAACAAAAACCCAACTCCATAGTTACTTAGCTACGCCTTTGCGGTCCAAAAGTCCGCATTATCACGGGCGTGTCTCGTTACTAAGCGCCAGTCTGCAAAACTCTTGTCTCTGAACATTCATACAAGTCATACAAGATGCCTTTTTTGCAATAAAACGAGTACATAAAATCGAAAGTGGATACATTTACGGTTAATTTATGCTGTTGTTAAGAAATTTCCGAAATTCAAGCAAACAAGGTCAATTTTTTTATCGGAACATGTATAGAATAGTATTTATGTAGTTACCATATTTTCTAGTGTTATTTTGACCTTAGTAAGAAGTAGAAGAGATTTTGTCACCAAATAACTCTATCATATGTCATCTAAATCACTCCTTTTTTGATCATGTCATCTTTCACGCAATCCATCTCTTTCTAAGTCTATCTCCACACTCACAACTAAATTACAAATATAAGTGTACTTTTTACACTGGAAAGTAAATACACAAGAAAACTATATACTTTAGTTAGTTATGCCCTTTACTATAGTATTGTAACTGAAAAATATAAATTTTTACTCTATGATATCTTCGTTTCCTTTTTCTACGTTGATAATTAGAATGAAGACCAGATACTTCTTATTTTTTTTGTATGCATATAAATTATTTATCCATTAGTATATACATAAAAATATGTTTATTTTATTTTATTTATATATAAAACTTTTTAATAAAAAAACAAAACTGACTTCCAAACAAAATACACTAAAAACAAAATATTCTCAAAAAAACAGTACACTAAAAAATGACGAAATAATTCCTTGAAAATAGTAAACCTCCCTTATTGTAGCTGTTATGTCTATATTGTACAATTATTATTACTTTGATGTCGGTGTCAGCCAAGGTATGCAGTGATATTTATACGTAAGGGTTTCCACATTATTACTATAACTATAAACAATTGAAAGTATAGTAACAATTAAATAATGAATCTACATTGACTGACACCGACTTCAAAGTAAAAATAATTGTACAATATAGACTATTTAATGGTAAACCACGCCCAGACTCGACCAGCATTAAATATTCTCTCATACTAAATTTACACTAAGGGTCTTCTTGAGTCATTAAAGAACTAAACGCTGTATTCAAAAGATTTAACCACTAAATAAACTAACAAATTCAACAATTATTGCTATAACATTCTAGAAAAATCTGTTCGTTTACATCATATCATACTTCATACTCATACTAATGTTATAAATGCGAAAGTTTAGATGGATGGATGGATGTTAGCGTTTGTAGCCTAAACAGCTGAACGGTTCTCCATGAAATTTGGCACAGGTTTAGAGCATAAGAAGTCTAGAAGAACACATAGGCTACTTTTTATCCAGGGAATAGTTACGATTCCCGTAGGATTCATTAATTTAGTTTTTAATATTTACTCCATCATTCTGCAACAGTTCATCATATCTCATTGACATTTGGCACAGATATAAAACAAAGTCTGAAGTACACATGGGATAAAGTTCATCTCCGAGAAATGTCCGGTTCCCGAGGGATACGTAGCTTTTTGTTATTTATATAGTTCGTATGTTCTCTAATGCCACGCAGACGAAGTCGCGGCAACAGCTAGTAAGAAATACTATAGCTTAAATAACCTAAAATGTTTGAAACGGCCTGGAATTTTAGTAATTACTAGTAAATAACTATGTTTTATTCACACTGTTACTGTAAATAGGTTAGTATAAGCGGTCGTTATCCGACTTCGTCTGCAATTAAGTCGTTAAGCCATTTGGTCTGACGTCAGCCATTTTAATAATGGCTGGTTTTAATACCACATTTAGGTAAATTTTCACATTTATTTTAATAGACCAGCTGTGCTTTTACGCCTAAGGAACGTTGTATAAAGAAAATTACGCCCATTATTAAACAAACATCAATTATTTTTATATCTGTCTGACTTTTTTTACATTCAATTTGTCTAAAGTATTTTTTTCTTACTTGGTTATGTTATTTAGTCTGAGTCAATAATTTTCAGTACTATAAAACCAGGTCTTATTTAGAGTTTTAAGATTTTTATTTTATAATTCTTTTTTATATAAGCGTATGTAAAGAAAGTAAACTAAATACAAGTACACAAGTTTCATCGGCACAGATCTCACCAGACGACGACAAGATGGCGCCAAAGCTGCGCGAAATTCACAACGCAACGATTAAAACGAAGATCCATACATGTTATAGACATGGCACTTGACAAAATTTATATTTATGGATCATTCTCTACATTTTCTCATTCGTTATTGATTTACTTTTTTCTCATGAAGGGTAAAGAAATTGGTTTATGACTTCATAACAATGCATAAGACTATATAGTTATTTTGATAAAATGCAGTTCTCTGTTATTTTTTTTACATCTGTTATAAACAATTATGATAATTAGTCCTCTCTACGCACTTACTTTTTATGTGTAAAAAGCTTTCGGATGGCCTGTCTAAATTTATTTGCGTCTGTATAACAACCATATGTTCATTGTGTGACTGTACAAAGTTTATAAGAAACGAATTGTAACTTTCATTTAAATATGGCGTCGCGCCCACGACAAAAATGTCATTTTGTTACACTTGGTTCTGTGTGGTCCGCCTTCGAATTGAAACCAAAATCCCTCGATTAAATCAAAAGATAAATAGAGCATCTGTTTGTCATTTTGAAAATATCACTAAGTAGAAAAAAGTTATTTTATCAGATCTGAAGAGATTATGATAATTTTATTATGGACATAATGTTTATAAAAGTTTTACGATTTTGTCATTTTTTTTAAACTATTTAAGAAAATAATAATTTTTAACCTTTAGTTACACTTTTATTAACACATATCTCTGTTTTTTATTGTTTTTTTTTTTAAACTAATATACTTGTAAAAGGTTTTATCATCAGGTGATATTGAGAAAAAATACCCAGTTTACACTAAGCAAGTACAGTTAGACGATAGTGCAGGCCAATGGATTGCATGAACTCACGGGCGTAGCTCCTGCCAGTTTACATTATGCCATTCCAGTTATTGAGTGTGCTGACCAAGTGTAAACCTGGTATTATTTCAAGATAATTTCAAAGAACATAAAATGTAAATGACAGATAATGATTATAGATTATAATCTTGCGTGGGTAAACATCACAGAGTAGGTAGTGGGCGGAGAGGTCATAGAAAAGTGTTCTCAATTTATCGAAGGTTCTTCCTTGCTGACATGGCGGAAAGATCATTGTCTGCAATCTAGACTCCATGAAGTGATTGAGATTGACGTCTTGTGCAGAGGAATCATGTCAATTTGTGTCATTTCAAGGACTTCAAGAGTTCGAGTGTCTACAGTACAGTTAGTTAATATTGAATATGCTGTTTTTTTTCTGAGCAATTTAAAGTGTTTATTTTAATTTATATAATTCATAATATAGTTGATAGCAATAGTTTCTTACTTCTATATACCCCAAATAGCATTTGTACCATCTCGAAAACAATAAAGTTAAATATATTAAGTATCTTTTAGCAAATTTTTGTGTTTAAAATTGTAGTGGGCACAAATCCTACGCTTTATGTGTTTTTTAATATCATTCAGTCAAGATTTATTGCACAGTTAATATCCTAAGATTTACATTAATTTTTAAATTGCTATAATTCGTCCATATGTGGGGCAAAACGTCCGCCATTTTGTCATTGCAAGCGATCAGCTAATGACGTTTCACGTGATCCAAATACTTGAAACTCGCGCCATCCGAGTGACATAAGCGTTTGTTTACGAGAATTTAAGGCCTGACATCACTCCGTTATCTAGAAACCAATTTGTGGTGAACCTTGCCGGCCTCTTTTACATTGGCAATTTACTACTGACAAAGGATTTATTGTGCGTGGACAGAGGCCATTGATGACCGGTCGTTAGTAAATGCATTGCTAAATATAGAACCAAGGTAGATATAAGTGCTTACGGTCAGCATATGGTCGTATCACCGATAATATATGTAATTAAATATTAGATAAATGTTTATGTAGTTGTAAAGTAAACATGTTTTTTTCTTACACATAGTTGTTGTTGTGGCGACAGAGTTTCTGCCAATGTTTTTCACACGTATGTTACCTGATTTTATCTTATCTCATAAGGATGTGTTAAAATTTTGTTTTGTTTTCTAACTGTTCAAGGTTATTTGTATAAAATTATTAAATACTTTAACTAGGATTTCCTATTTTAATCCACGTAGTGTTTTTTTCCCTTATGTATTTAATTGGTTTAGGTAGTATATTGTTTCAGTTCTGTTGTTACTAATCTCTGAGAAAAAAATTAAACTTATACATCATAGATTAAGAATAAGCTAAAAATGAAAGCTATTCTGTCATTAGATCCTTTTTGTAAACAAATCATTTGATTGTAAAATAAAAGAACTTATCGTATGGGGTTAAGATTAAGGGTAAAAGTAAAGGCAAGTTTGTTTTTAATAAATAAAAATCTTTATTACATTATGCAGAGTATGTGTGTAACCGACATTTTTAATTATATTTGCCTTTATAAGCCTAGTAATGGCCCTTTTCTGGGAAATTAGCCGCAGAAAGATACCTGGCATTACGAGAATTCATTGAAAACGGATGTTTCTTCTCTTGCAATGATCAATAACTAAGAATGCCGCTTACATACTTGTCCGGCATTTTGTATACATTAAATTATTGTTCAAAACAATTGTAACTGTAATAACTTCTGTTATTGAAGCGGACATTTTTACGTTTGGCGAGTTGTTTTGTTTCCAAACAATATAAATACACAATGTCTACTTTAGATCAGCCTTTAAACAATTCAGATCTAGCTCTCAATGAGACTTGTTGGAATCACGAGGAATGTATCGATCGAATACAAATGCCGTCGATTTTTTTTTGTTTTATATATCATAGTAATCCTGACAATGTTAAATTGTGCATCTGTTAAAAGTTAGAAAGCAGGTTCTGAATTTAACGTAGGAATCAATTTGTTACTCATTTGGCGTAACGCGTTTAAATTGACAAAAGTATCTACGTTTCGTTTCAGTGTTTAGTGCTCGTCCACATCCTGCTCCTGCTCCTCGTCGAACTCCGCGTCCTCGTCGGCGGTAGCCTCCTGGTACTGCTGGTACTCGGAGACGAGATCGTTCATGTTGCTCTCCGCCTCGGTGAACTCCATCTCGTCCATACCCTCGCCAGTGTACCAATGCAAGAAAGCCTTGCGCCTGAACATAGCGGTGAACTGCTCCGAGATGCGCTTGAACAGCTCCTGGATGGCGGTGGAGTTGCCGATGAAGGTGGCGGCCATCTTGAGACCACGCGGCGGGATGTCGCACACGGCGGTCTTCACGTTGTTGGGGATCCATTCGACGAAGTAGGACGAGTTCTTGTTCTGGATGTTGAGCATCTGCTCATCTACCTCCTTCATGGACATGCGGCCGCGGAAGATGGCGGCGACGGTGAGGTAGCGGCCGTGGCGCGGGTCGCAC